CGTCTTTGTGACCCCAGACCCAAAATCGACCGAAGATACCTTGAGAAAAGTCGCTTCTGCCAACAGGTTGTTTCTCGCCATACGACGATCCTTCTCTCGCTTGACTCCGGAGATCTTCAGGCTCCTGTTCGCTTCTCGTGTACGTCCGCTTCTTGAGTATGGACTGCCCGCTGTTTAACCTCTTTCCAAATTTGAATGCAATTTGATTGAAAACGTTCAGCGGAGAGGATCTAAAGCCATTCTAGAGTTACGAAACCTACCTTACTCACATCGTCTTCGGCGCCTGAATTTGTTCTCCCTAGCCTGCCGTCGAGATCGCGGGGATCTGATTTTCACGCGGCGTATCGTTAGAGGTGAACATGGAGTTGAGCTGCAGAATTTTTCCCCTCAATTCTTTCAGCTCGACTCGGGGTCACCATAGGAAATTGCTTAAACCAAAGAGACTTCGGGTCCGTCGTGACGTCAATCTGTCAACCAAAGTAGTGAACGAATGAAACAATCTACCTGTGTACATCCTTGATACGCAGTCGGAGGAATGTTTCAAACATCGATTGAGTTCTTACCTGTTGAGTGAACTCGAACCTTGTAGCTTCTTGTGTCAATGCAGCGGTACCAGCCCCGATGGGGCATAGATCACATTTTGGTCAGCTCTGGCGCAACTTTGTATTGCGTTCAACTAGGCTTCATGACAGGAGCATCTTGGGCTCATAGGTCCTCCCATACTTTGTGGTCCCTGTCACACCACGTGAGAGATCTTGGCCAGATCAGTTGCACGCATCTTACAGATGTTAGGACTGCTAATCCGACCACAAAAGGTATTCAGCCTACCCCAGTAGTAGCTGAGCGCTTTACTGGCTCCCACCGACACTTAGTTAAATAGGAAGTCTTGAAATGGTAGACGCTACCGCAAAGGCAACCTGGAATCACTAATCGGTAGCTCAAATCCTTTGAAAGCTCCTCCTCGACGTCCAGTTTCTTACTGCTCAACAGATCAGCATGTAAAGCAGCCTTGTACTATTGAATTGGAGCATCGTAAGCCTGTAGGCACTGACCAGGTAGGATATTGCATAGCAATATGGAAGCAATCCGAACGGACAAACTTTACTTCACTTCTTCCTTCTCTTCTACACTTTGGTTCCTTCGTCTCCATCTTTACCCCTTAGTATTTTCCAAATACCTAGTCCACTTGGTCTATTGCGAATACTTATACTTGTGACCCATGAGTCATTTCTACTAAAAACATTTTAACAACTTTAAGTCTCATGTGAAATGCCAGGTTCTAGCGTTGTTGTCCACACATATGGTGCACCCGTAAGTTACCATTTATCTGTCTAAAATAGTCGTATAAATTACCTGTTTTATAGGTATTGCTACTAGCCTACGTAATCGGCATCTACTAGTTGCCCATAACCGATGCCCTCGCCTAGGTTTAAGTACTCGCTGCGTTACACCGCTGACTATATAACAGGGCTACCCACCCACCTCGAAGGCAAAATCACCATAACCTTTAATTAGGCATTTACTCTCCACTTAAGCTTTCTTGGCCAGTACATTTAGTTTTATCTGAGTTATACGTATGCCTATCACTATCGGAAACGCTGGTAGACAGGCATTATGAAAAACCAGCTTCTTTTCTTCAATCCTTTATGCTTGCACAACAATTTTTCCGGCTTCCCTTTCTCTGGCAAAAAGCTAACCATGCGGCAGTGAGGCCCCTGTCACCTGGATGGCTAGACACCCAGATATTTTGACCACCACTTTTTTTCCTTGGCCGTTCGAACGTAATTTTAACCTTTACCTGGCTCCAAAGCCTACCATACGTAATGCGTAATGGTGGGTGAACAACCAGCTCCCACTTGTTTTCCATTATCTTCTCTGCTTGCGTTATATTATTGTTCATCCGTTTTGCCTGACAATGTGGAAGCTTCCCACCAGGAAACCTCCAATTTAATAGCTGTTGTGATCTCCCAGTTTTCTATTACCTTACACTGGTGAATATCACTTGCACTTGCATCGGACTCCCAACCAAGAGAGTTAGAGCTCAAAATAGCAACGCGATGCAGAAATGGTGTGCTTTAACACATGAAGCCCAATAATCCGTCACAAATGAGAAAGTGCAACCTCTATAAGATGAGGTGATCATGCCTAACCAAAACGGCATTCGTGGTATTTCCCACCTGAACGCATTTCGCTAATTTTTTGGACATTTATTTCTCTATTATCAATAAAAGACATCTCTAGCTCATTAGCATTGGTGGCACATCCATTAAGATATAAAACATAACCTCAAAGTGCTGAAACTGATGATGTTTCTCCAGGGAACGATTTGCGTTATTCTGGTCCAACACCACAGGCACTTGAATCCGACTCTCAGCTAAGAGAAATAGAGCTCTAAACTAGCAACTTAATGCACAGTTGTGTGCTTTAGCATCTGTGGCCCACTAATCGGTCATGCTTGAGATGGCGCAAACCCCCAAAAGAAGTGGTATTCGTGCCTAACCAACGTTTTGTGAATTATCTAACATTAGTTTTTTTATTATCACTGGAAGACCACCCTGGCTCATTAGTGTCAGTGATACAACCACAATGACGTATAAAATAGCCTCAATGAGTCGAAACTGGTAATATTTCTGTAGGAAATGCTTGCGTTATCCTAGTTCAGACGGGGCAAATGGGTTTTATGTTCCCTTGTCTTATCCCTGTGGACTCAGCTCATGCGGCTTTGGTATAATTTTCGCATCCACATCGAAGCATTAAAAACGTTGAATTCCACATTCATCGTGGATTCTGCGGCCCAATATACTCTGAAAATCACACATGGTCGCATACTGGCTGTGGGCTAGCTACACCATATCCTGTGCTGTTCTACCTATATAACTACTCTTACAGCCTACCTAGTATTTCTCTAGAACCTTTCCGGCTGTTTTCCCAACTTTTAATACGTTTACTGAGAAAGTATGCTTTTCGGCCCACTGCGTCACACTTCGCTACTGCAGCGAATTACACGTTATCTTAGGCATTCCCAGTTACTACTTAAATTCGGAACTTATTACGCCTAGCCGTTTTTTGTATTATTTATTTTTTCTTTCTGTATCTGCTTCCAAAGCAAAACGTGAATTTAGCGGAGGCTCGAAAATGGCGCTATCCGCAGCCGACAGCTCAAAATGCAAATAGGTTTATAACCACTGCACCTAGCTTAAATATTTTACCTTTGTCGTAACCAGCGCTTAGGGTTTGTCGTAGACCGTCCATTGTTGTCCCGTTTTAGTTAACATTTCGGCTCCAAAACGGCGTTGATTCCGCTTGTTTGGAGATTTACACTTTGCAATTCACGCCAGGTTTGCGGCTCTGGTATGCTGTTTCTGGGCTATATTTTGGCTCCATTTTCCAATATTAGTGTATTTTCTAGTTAAGTGTGCCGGCCTTTCAGTCTCACTTTTCTAAGAAAGGCTAAATTGTTAGCCACTACTGTTATTTCCCTTGTTTCCACCCTTCACTTTTACGATCTAATTTTAGCTTGCTTATTCCTTTCCATGAGCCCGCTACTAATGGATGCTCGAAATGCGGTGATGTGACCAAAGAAAATAGAGCAAATTTCCTCCAGTGGTGCATTTTCCATCGGAAATAACACAATCCATTGTCATAATAGATTGAGAGTTTACTGATGGAATCAGGCACCTCAAGGATTTGCAGCGGTAGCCGGTGAAAAGCGCAGAATTCGTACATAAGCTACGGAGACCCAAACTACTGCCTTCAAAATTGTCGAGGCCTACGAAACGTTTGTATTTATCCCTGCTTTACTGTTCGGAAAGATAAACACGACATGATGTCTGAATCGGAAAATAATTGAACTCCACCCAAACTAGTCACGACTCGGAATAAGAACACCAGAACTGGAATTCGAATTTCGCGGGTGTGTATTCTGCATCAAAAAAGATGAAAAGAATAACAATAAACAATCACTGAGTAATGTTTGTACAATTATCACATCCTCCGCAGCTTGAATGCAACTCCAGGTTTCTGTAATTCAGCTGTGGTTTCTGTTGCAATCTGGCTGATCATTTTGGAGGCTGATTTTGCCCAGAATACTCATGAGGATCTGAAACTGAATCGACATTAGTATTTTCAGTGCACACTGAATCGAATGACAACCGACCGGAATCCTTGTATCGTATCTGGTCAACATGCCGTCTGTGTACAGAACAATCATCGAGATCCAGAATTCTAACTATGCGGTTTCCAATGTATTTAACGATGATACCAGATGAGGGACGTAAATCATTGCCTCTGATATAAGATACTTTAGCAGTCCCCAAGCCAAGCATGTTTGACCTCAATGGTCTGGATTTACAAAGTTTGGCAGGTGTATCTTTAGTGGAGGAATGCACGCAATTACGGTATTGAAGAAGAAAGTTATCAACACAACGATCAAGTTCATCAAAAGAAGTAGGAGCACAGGAGGTAATAGAACGTTTTAAGGTTGCAACAA